ACAAACTTGGAATACAGATCTTTCTTTCAACAAACTTGGAGGTTTCTTACCTCCTGAACTTGGCAATCTAAAGAATTTAACTTCGCAGCTTGAGTAATAACAACCTAATTGAATATTCCTTCAAACTATGTGTCTTTTAACCCATCTAACCATTGTGCATCTTAGTCATAATCAACTCAATCACTCCATTCAAATGAGTTTACTCAGTTAGTTCATCTTCAACATGTCGATCTTTCCTCAAATTTCCTTTCTGGATATACCAAATGCAAGTGGAAAACTCTTCAACCTTGAATATCTAAACCTCTCTAGAAACAGATTGGTGGAAGCATTCCATCTATTTACCTTAAAAGTCTAATCATTTTGATTTGTCATTCAACTCACTCACTGGGAACATACCTTCTCAATTGGATACTATTATCTCAATAGTACATGTATATAGATGTTTCGCACAATTATCTTTCTGGAGCCACCCTAAACCCTTCATGGTTTGTATTACATTGACTGTCATATAATAATTGGAGGGTGAAATCCAATTGATTTGCAATATCAACCACCAGAAAAGTTTATGGTAACAAGAATTTATGTGGCCTAGTTGATAAGGGCTTTTCCGCTTGTCCTAGTCTTACATCTTCTAAACCCACTAAGAACGGTCTCCTTCTAAACCCCAAAGAAGGTGTCTCCTTCTCTAAAATTTTGCTTCTACACCATATCTGTCAGCATCTTAATATTGGATTCTTGATTCTCCTTAAACGTAAGGATGAAGAAGCTAAACCAGAGACAGGGCAACAAGGCTAGAGATGTGTGTCAATTTGGAATTATGATGGGAAAATTGCATTTGAAGACAGGTTGAAGCAACAGAGGACTTTGACATCAAATACTGCATTGGAACTGGGGGTTACGGTAGTGTTTATAGGGCACAACTGCCGAATGGCAGAGTAGTTGCTTTGAAGAAGCTTCATAGTCTGGAAACGAGGAGTCAACTTTCCTCAACAGTTTCCAAAATGAGGCCCTGTGCTATCCAACTTACGACATCGAAATATATTAAGCTTTATGGATTTTGTTTGCATAAAAAATGCATGTTTTAATTTATGAGTACATGGAGAGGGAAGCTTGTTTTGTGTTCTACGCAACGATGATGAAGCTATTGAGTTGGTTGGAGTAGAGGGTGAACATAGTTAAGAATATGGCACATGCTTTGTCTTACTTACATCATGATTGCACTCCATCAATTGTTCATCGTGACATATCAAGCAACAACATTCTACTAAACTCAGAATTGGAAGCATTTATTGTGACTTTGGGTTGGCTAGACTTCTACATCCTGACCCTCCAATAGAACCATATTAGCCGGAACTTATGGATATATAGCCCCAGTGAAGTACTCAATTACTCTTCTCTAAATATATGTCTGTTATAACCGAAGTGACATCTTTAGAATCTATATAAAACTACATTTTGATATCATTAATTTTTTGAAAGTAAATTAGTGAATAGATGTTATTATTTCTTCTAAAGGATTTCTAACTTTCTGTGCAGAACTTGCTTACACCATGATTGTGACTGAGAAATGTGATGTTTATAGTTTTGGAGTAGTGGCACTTGAAGCATTGATGGGTTGTCATCCAGGAGAACTACTTTCATCAGTATCATCTTCTTCTCCTCAAAATATGATGCTTCTTGATCTGTTAGACCCACGCCTTTCACCTCCGGCGGACACAATGGTCATGCAGGATATTGCTCTTATTTCAAGAATAGCATTTGCTTGCTTACGTTCCAAACCAAAGTCACGACCTACAATGCATCGCGTGTCTTATGAATTTCTTAGCCGCAAGACACCATTGGCAAAACCTTTTTGTGAGATTTCTGTCTTTGAGATGAGAAACCAAAATATATATGCAATTGATGAATCCGAGGGTTAGGCATGGACGTGTTTCACTGTTTTATAGTAACAATCATGTACCAAGTTCATTTATTTGGCCTCCTTTTTAGGTTGCTTCTCTTAATGTAATCTTTTATCTTTTTATAATAAAGTAAATTTTCATATGCAACTCTAAAATTTACATTTAGAAAGGTCAGTTTCGTTTAATATATACAACTTTTGAATGTTCAAATAGGGGAGAACAACATTTTCCCACCCAAGGTTTGATGAAACCCAACCATCAAGTTTCAAAATGACATTTTCGCACCCTTCATTAGGTTCTGTTAGTGTTTTCTATTTATATTTTACTGAAAAGATGAAAATACCCTTAAATAGTTTATTATAAATTAAAATTTAGTTAATTCAAAGTCTTTATTCGATTATCTATTAGTCCAAATATAAAGATACATTTTTTTCTTTGTTTATTTAATTAAATAGGAATATTGATTTTTTATGTTAATTAGTAAAAATGAAAAACGTTATAAATAATAGTGATATGATATTAATGACATTATAAATAAATATTAAGATTATTTAACTTTAAACGATTTATAGCATTACTCCTAANTTTAGTGTTCTACGTAACAATGATGAAGCTATTGAGTTGGATTGGAGTAAAAGGGTAAACATTGTTAAGAATATTGCTCATGCTTTGTCTTACATCATGATTGCACTCCATCAATCGTTCACCGTGACCTATCAAGCAACAACATTCTCCTAAACTCAAAATTGGAAGCATTTGTTGCTGACTTTGGATTGGCTAGACTTCTACATCCTGACTCTTCCAATAGAACCATATTAGCTGGAACTTATGGATATATAGCCCCAGGTGAAGTACTCAGTTACTCTTCTCATAAATATTTGTGACTCTTATAATCGAAGCAACATCTTTAGACAAGATTCTCAGTTACTCTTAGTCTTGATGGTTACTTGTGTGGCTGATGGAGTGATGGTCATATTGTTCTTGTGGGAGTGCATTGGACAAGATTCTCAAGGTTCCATCCTAATGACTAATGAGCCCAAAGACCTTGACTACAGTTGTCTATTTCAATGTTAGTGCATGGAATATCATGCACTAGCTTGTGTTATGATGGCCATTAAATTCCAATGACAAGGATTGCTATACCGTAAAGTTTTCGCTGGATGATTTTGTAGTTGGTCAAGGTGTTTGTGTGGAAATGCATGCATCTTACCCAGAAGTTAAGCTAAAAAGACCTTGACTTCAGTTCTCTATCTTATCTTGGTGAAATTGTATAGTGGTGGCCATAGGCTTCCCTTTTAGAACATTCTCTTGTTGTTTAGTCTCTTTTTTTAAGCCTTTTTTCCCTTAATGTTTAATGTTTTAGTTAGTCTGTCTATTTTTATAATGAAATAGCTATGTAGTTTCTGCCCAACCATCTAAACTTTTCAATTTTATTAACTAATTGATTATTTATATTCTACTTTCTAAACCTCGAACTTCTTCTCAATCGTCCAACTTTACAAACTAATTTTCTTTCTTAAGTTCTTTTAAGTTTTAAGTTTTAAGTTTTAACTCTCCAAAAGGATGCTCTACTTAACTCCAGTTGGTGGAGTAACAGCGGCATGACCAAGAATACTTCAGATCATTGCAAGTTTTGAAAGGTCCGCTTAAAAACAAAAAAGTTCATATTACTCTAATATCGATGTATCACGATACAAAGATTGATTGAAACATGATATAAAGGTTCATGTACGAGAAACAGTTACTCTGACAGTATGGTAAAATTATAATAAGATTTACAAACTATGTGGAACTAGTTGTTATAAAGTTTTTTTAATATACTCTCTCTCTCTATTGTTGTTGTGTTATTTTTTTTTTTTAAAGTCGTTTTAAGGGTATACATGACTTTTAATAAAAAAAATTCTTCTCCCTTCCACCTAACTTTTTCCTCTGATTTTGCAGCTGGGAAAAAATTTTGCAAGTGAGAAAAACTTTCCCGCTGCATACATTGAATTATTTAAATAATTTACATTTGTTTTATTTCATTTCTTTTATTCTGCTAGTCTTCGTCTCTTTTCTTTTACTCTGTTCCATTTCTTTTATTCTGTCATCCCTCACTCATTTCCATTTTTGTTCCATTTCCATCTCTTTGATTCTATTCTGTTAGTCACCATGGCCGAACAATGTAATAGTAGAGGTGTGCTTGGGAAAATTGATTTAAATGTTCTTTCAACAATAGAAGTTACGAATGAAGTTGATGACATAACCGAGAAAGTTAATACACATGTGAGTCGAAAAAACCTTACAAATGAACAAAGGCAAGCAATTTTTTAATCTCTATTGAAGCGAAGTGTTAATGAACAATTGAAGAAAAACACTACATCTGAGATAGCGAATGTGGAAGAGAAGAGATTGGGAAGAGATAGCGAAAAAGAGAGAGAAGATGGAAGCAGAGACGCAGAGTAGATAAAGAAGAAGTGGGCGATGGAAACTATGGAAGAGAGGAGAAGAGAGGAAGAGATAAGATAGAGAGAGACAGAGGAGATGTGGGCCATGACGAAAAGTGGAGAAGGGAGACAGACAAGATAAGCAGCAACATTTAATTTGAAAAAAAACTACACCCTTAAAACAACTTTAAAAAAAAAANTGATTCCTTTAAGTTGATTAACGTGCTCAGATTCCAAGTTCTGCTCATGTGAGTGCTCTACAAACCCAAAAACCAACAATATTTTAAACCAGAAAAAAAGAAAAAGCAATATCAAAGCATGTTTTAACTATTATGAATATGAGTAATTTGTGTAACAGGGGATTCAAGAAGCCAGAGCGGTCAACGGAGTTGGTGGTGGAGGCGGGTTTCTCTGCGTGATCAAGAAGAAGAGAATTTCAAAGTCTTCTTAATTAAAAAAAGACTTGTTTAATTGTAGGAGTGTTTATTATGGTCCAAGTCTTCTTAAGTACATAGAATTTACGAGTAAAAAAATCACTCAGCCTGGGGCAAGACCAATTAATTAAATGGAGGTTAGCTACCTTCAAACTTTGTATAAGTATGGAGAGTAACTGAACCAAGCAAAAGATTTTTAAAACGGTGTTGACATCCTTCACCTGTAGACTAGTGGGCATATGGGCTACCATTTGCTTATAATTGTGCTTGCTGCCCATATGCTTATAATTGTGCTTGCTATCGCCACATTTTTCATCATCTCAATATTTAGATTCCTATTTCCCCTTCAATGTGAGCATGGAAAAGCTAAACCCGAGAAAAAGGCGACCAAGGCTGGAGATGTGTTTTCAATTTGGAATTATGATGGTAGAATTGCATTTGAAGACATGATTGAAGCAACAGAGGACTTTGACATCAAATACTGCATCGGAACTGGGGGTTACGCTAGTGTTTACAGGGCACAACTATCAAATGGCAGAGTAGTTGCTTTGAAGAAGCTTCACAGTTTAGAAACTGAGGAGTCAACTTTCCTCAACAGTTTCCAAAACGAGGCCCATGTACTGTCCAAATTACGACATTGAAATATTATTAAGCTTTATGGATTTTGTTTACATAAAAAATGCATGTTTTTAATTTATGAGTACATGGAGAGGGGAAGCTTGTTTAGTGTTCTACGTAACAATGATGAAGCTATTGAGTTGGATTGGAGTAAAAGGGTAAACATTGTTAAGAATATTGCTCATGCTTTGTCTTACATCATGATTGCACTCCATCAATCGTTCACCGTGACCTATCAAGCAACAACATTCTCCTAAACTCAAAATTGGAAGCATTTGTTGCTGACTTTGGATTGGCTAGACTTCTACATCCTGACTCTTCCAATAGAACCATATTAGCTGGAACTTATGGATATATAGCCCCAGGTGAAGTACTCAGTTACTCTTCTCATAAATATTTGTGACTCTTATAATCGAAGCAACATCTTTAGACAAGATTCTCAGTTACTCTTAGTCTTGATGGTTACTTGTGTGGCTGATGGAGTGATGGTCATATTGTTCTTGTGGGAGTGCATTGGACAAGATTCTCAAGGTTCCATCCTAATGACTAATGAGCCCAAAGACCTTGACTACAGTTGTCTATTTCAATGTTAGTGCATGGAATATCATGCACTAGCTTGTGTTATGATGGCCATTAAATTCCAATGACAAGGATTGCTNGAGTCAACTTTCCTCAACAGTTTCCAAAATGAGGCCCATGTACTATCCAACTTACGACATCGAAATATTATTAAGCTTTATGGATTTTGTTTGCATAAAAAATGCATGTTTTTAATTTATGAGTACATGGAGAGGGGAAGCCTGTTTTGTGTTCTACGCAACGATGATGAAGCTATTGAGTTGGATTGGAGTAAGAGGGTGAACATAGTTAAGAATATGGCACATGCTTTGTCTTACTTACATCATGATTGCACTCCATCAATTGTTCATCGTGACATATCAAGCAACAACATTCTACTAAACTCAGAATTGGAAGCATTTATTGCTGACTTTGGGTTGGCTAGACTTCTACATCCTGACTCCTCCAATAGAACCATATTAGCCGGAACTTATGGATATATAGCCCCAGGTGAAGTACTCAATTACTCTTCTCATGAATATATGAGACTGTTATAATCGAAGTGACATCTTTAGAATCTATATAAACCTTACATTTTGATATCATTAATTTTTTGAAGCTAAATTAGTGAATAGATGTTATTATTTATTCTAAAGGATTTCTAACTTTCTGTGCAGAACTTGCTTACACCATGATTGTGACTGAGAAATGTGATGTTTATAGTTTTGGAGTAGTGGCACTTGAAGCATTGATGGGTTGTCATCCAGGAGAACTACTTTCATCAGTATCATCTTCTTCTAATCAAAATATGATGCTTATTGATATGTTAGACCCACGCCTTTCACCTCCTGCAGACACAATGGTCATGCAGGATATTGCTCTTATTTCAAGAATAGCATTTGCTTGCTTACGTTCCAAGCCAAAGTCACGACCTACAATGTATCGTGTGTCTCATGAATTTCTTGGCCGCAAGACACCATTGACAAAACCTTTTCATGAGATTTCCATCTCAGAGATGAGAAACCAAAATATATATGCAATTGATGAATCCGAGGGTTAAGCATGGATGTGTTTCACTGTTCTATGGTAACAACCGTGTACCAAGTTCTTTAATTTGGCCTCCTTGTTTAGGTTGCTTCTCTTAATGTAATCTTTTATCATTTTATAATAAAGTAACTTTTCATGTGCAACTCTAAAATTTACATTTAGAAAGGTCGGTTTCGTTTAATAGTAACTAAAACTTTTTCACGGTCTTCCAGCCTCGACAAATTATTGTCATAATATATCTTCCAAGTTGAACAGTTGAATTTATCCAATCCATGAACAAAATGGAAAGATCAAGTTGCAAAAGAGTTGCAAGCTTGAATTAATCTTATGCGAAAATGAATTCTTCAAGATTTGAGCAAAAAGAAAAAAGAAGATTTGAGCAGGAATAAACAAAATAAAGATGCCAGAGATTCTCAACACAACAGAGGACCAACAATCTGTTGAGATTTCCATTATATTTTGTAATCTCCTATTTTTGTTAGTCTTAGGATACTCTTGATATCATGTAATTTCCCAACTTTTTATTTTTGTTTTAAAATTTTGTCCCTTTTTGGATTTGTAGAGCACTCACATGAGCGGAACTTGGAATCTGAGCTCGTTAAGCAACCTAAAGGGATCATAAAGGTGTGAAATGTTTTATGTTTATGAGTTTTTGGTTTGTTCGTTAAGTAACATGTATTAAGTGTTTGTGGAAATGTGTGTGTGAGTTTGTAGATTTAGGTATTTGTATTATTTTGTTAAAGGAGGGAGTTTTGTTTGGTGGTGGGATACGATTATGGCGATTGGTACTTGCATTAACGGGCAAGTTTTGTTCTATCAACATGAATTTTTTGCATTTGAATGAGAATTGTTCAAATGGTTATACGGTCAGTTTGACTTGATATGAGAGCATGACAACTGATCCATAGGTATAGTGGATTTTTTAAAATGAGTTAAAGTTGTTTAGTTACTATCTGGAAGCTAAAAGATTTTGTTTTTTTATTATTTTTTATGAAGCTCCATAGGAAAAGTGGTTACAAAGTTTTCCATCATGTCTATTTTGGCATTTTGTGGTTGGGCATTAGCAGAGCATAATGGAACTTGCTATGTTTTCTATTACATGCGAACTTACTCCTTGTACTTGAAGCTGATTTGTAATAATTGCTGGTTTCCAGTTCCGTGGTGGGCCAGTCTCAGTTGCAGAGTATATGGAGGAAGTTCTGACAAATCCTAAGGCTGGGTTCTATATCAATCGTGATGTATTTGGAGCAGAAGGTGATTTTGTAACCTCACCTGAAGTAAGCCAGATGTTTGGAGAGGTAATGTGACTTCTCTTGGTCTGTCTTACTATTGTCTCCTTGTAACTCATTAGACTTCATTCAAGGAGTCGTTTGTACTGTAAAGTGCTGGTCGTTTAACTTATGTTGTTTGGTTATCGCAAAACAATTGATTCTTTGTCTGACTCATTGTGCAAGAGCATGTAGAAAGTTTTTATCTACACAAGGCAAAATCCCTGTTTGGGGGGAAATTCCCCATGAAGCCCCTTTCATCAGGTCGGTCGGGACGGGGATGGGAGTGATTCCATCCCCACGGGTCGGGGATGGTCATGAAAAAATCCCAGTCTACGGGACGGTCATGGGAGTGGGTAACGGGGCGGGGATGGGGAATGGGGTCCCCGCCCGCACCCATCCCTACTTATATATCGTTAAATTTTTTTTCATGTTCAAATTAAGCAAACTAGATGACACATGAATTACAAAGACATGAATGTCACCTCTCTTAAATTTAAAGTTGAGTTAAGGGACGTGAGAATATTGAATGGGGAGAATTTCAGAAACTTCCCCTCACTAGGAAATAATCAAAAACTAGTGCCAACTTCTAACGTCATCCAAATCTATTATCTTGCAACTTAAATCTTTTATAAAAATTATATTTTGCTCTCACTCTCATTAAATGTGATAAAAAGTTTTTCCTTCCAATATGATTTGAACTTGATTCACTGCTTTAACTAATTTAAGTTATATGTGTGAATGATATTTTAATATTTAATTTTTTTTTAAAGTTTGTATAATAAGTTATATATATTTATAGTATTATTTTTTGTTAGAGTTTTGAATCGAAAACTTAGAAGGGCTGGGTTTGAATCTTGAATAGCAAAAACAATTTCAAATATAATGAAAGTGAGAATAAAATAGTAATTTTATGTAAATTCAGCTTGCAAGTTAACGGAATTGGATAATTGGGGCTCAGGGGTAGTTTTTTACATTTCTCAAAAAGTGTCATAGTTTTTATTAGCAAAAAGTGTGGGGTAGTTTTCACTGTTCTGTGGAAGTGCATTGGACAAGATCCTCAGATAATGTTTTTCACAATTAAGCCCAGTCATGGAGAAGACGAAGAATATAAAGGAAAGATAATTTTTCTTATAAAACAATCCAGCAACGTAAAAAACTTGACAATTAATAGTATGTGAAAAAGACCAGCAGCAACAATCATGTTAAGACTAAATTATTTGTACAACTTTTTTATGTGAAGCCGTGTAGGCCAATCCTTACAATTTGTATTATCTATTATTAGTATTGACTCAGTAAACTGAATTATTTGTGCAACTTTTTATGTGAAACCGTGTAGGCCAATCCTTAATTTGTATTATCTATTATTAAGTATGACTTATATATATTAAGTATTTATTCTTTAATTTCAATAATTTCGAGATTTATTATACTTATTAATCACTTTTAGAATATATATCTTCTACTTTAAAACTCAGACTTCTATGTTTATACATTTCTTCATAATCATCTAACTTTAATTCATTACAAACTCAAGTTTTTTGAAGATTTATAAAATCATAGAGCAAATAGAAAAGTTACAATAAAATTTAATTTTATTATTCAATCTAGTTTGGCTTTTTTTTTTTTTTTTTTTTAAATAACCGGGATATCTGGGCAAACTTGCATGCATCTGAACTAATCTATAGGGTCTATTGAATACTCTATAAGCTTAAATGACCAAGTAAGCCACATATTATTCTGATATGTAACTCCAAGGTTTGAATCTAGAAATTCAAGGAAATGAACAAACCTCCTTCAACGTTATAGCTTCAAGCCACCCCTGGGGTTTTTAGTTTGGTTTGTTCTCCTCTTAAATTACTTTTTTTATTTTTTTATTTTACATAAGTTTAATATATAGTATTTGTTTGTTCTTATTATTATAGTCCTTGTTTATTCATTTGCAATTTTTTTTTCTGAACAATAAATATGCATTTCTAGTAAAAATATGACATCTGAATAAAGACATTAAATTTATATTCTTATAAAAATATATATATAACTTTCCAATTTATAATGAATTGTCACAATTGACAACTTGCTCCACGTTCGTTCTAGGAAGAAAAAAAACCAAAAGACTTTACTTGGACTCTGTCATAATCTTCTAATATACGCAAGACTTGTTTAATTGTAGGAGGGTTATTAAGGTCCAAGCAAGTCAAAAAGGTAGAATTTATCTGTAAACAAATGGCTCTCAAGTCAAAAGAGGCAAAATTACGAGTACAAAATGGACTCTTAAGTCAAAAAGAGGTAGAATTTAAGAATAAAAAAAAAAAAAAAGAATTGACGCAGTCTGGGCAAGACCAATAAACGGAGGTTTAGCTAGCTTCAAACTTATTATATATATAAACTGGCTTCAGGTAGATAGAGTATCTAGCTGCACAAGCATAAGGTTTTTAAACATGTGTTCAATTCCTTCACTTCTAGAGGGCTGATTATATGGGCTACCATTTTTACATGTTATGTTGCTATTAATATTCCTGATAAGTTGTAGCAGCATATGATTATCATCTTTACAATTAGAGAAAAGGCTTTACTTAACACCAGTTTGGGATCCCATCACAATATTTCAAATCATTGCAAATGGGTTGGTATCACTTGCAATTCGGAAGGAAGCATCATTTGTATAGATCTTTGGTACCCTCGTCATAACATAAGAGAGGCTTAGCCAGATTAACTTTTCTTGCTTTCCCAACCTTAAAAATTTCAGTATCGTAAATAGTTCTCTCTCCGGACACATTCCATCACAAATTGGTGCACTTTCAAAGCTCAAATTCCTCTCCCTGTCCAATAATAATCTTACAGGTATGCTACTAATTCTTTTTTTTTTTTTTAATCATTTCAATAATAGGTGAGTGCATTAAATTGACTATTTTTTTTTTTTTTTTGGCAATAAATAAGGTGTCATCCCTCCAGAGATTGGAAGCTTGAACAATCTCATGAGACTGAATTTGTCATTAAACAAATTCACTGGATCGATCACTTCAACTGTTGGTCATTTGACAAACTTGGAATACCTAGATCTTTCTTCCAACAAACTGGAGGTTTCTTACCTCCTAAACTTGGCAATCTAAAGAATTTAACTTTCTTAGATCTGAGTAATAACAACCTAATTGGACCTATTCCTTCAACCCTAGGTCTTTTAACCCATCTAACCATTTTGCATCTTAGTCATAATCAACTCAATCACTCCCTTCCAAATGACTTATTCAGTTAGTTAATATTAATATGTCGATCTTTCCTCAAATTTCCTTTCTGGTCATTTACCAAATGCAAGTGGAAAACTCTTCAATCTTGAATATCTAAACCTCTCTAGAAATAGATTTGGCGGAAGCATTCCATCTACTTACCTTAAAATCTTAATCATTTTGATCTGTCATCAACTCACTCACGTGGACAATACCTTCTCCAATTGGATACTATTATCTCAATAGATACATTTATATAGATGTTTCGCACAATTATCTTTCTGGAACTATCCCCAAATCACTTCATGATTTGTATTACATTGACTTGTCATATATAATTTGGAGGGTGAAATTCCAATTGATTGCAATATCAAGGACCAGAAAAGTTTATCGGTAACAAAGATTTATGTGGTTAGTTGATAAGGGCTTTTCCGCTTGTCCTAGTCCTTCACCTTCTGAACCCCCTAAGAAGTGTCTCATTCTGAACCCCCAAAAGGTGTCTCCTTCTCTTAAAATTTTGCTTCCTTCACCATATTTGTCCATCTTATATTTGCATTCTTATTCTCCTTAAACGTAAGGATAAGAAGCTAAACTCGAGACAAGGGCAACCAAGCTAGAGATGTGTTTTCAATTTGGAATTATGATGCGAAAATTACATTTGAAGACATGATTGAGCAACAGAAGACTTTGACATCAAATATTGCATTGGAACTGGGGGTTACGGTAGTGTTTATAGGGCACAACTGCCAATGCAGAGTAGTTCTTTGAAGAAGCTTCACAGTCTGGAAACCGAGGAGTCACTTTTCCTTTTTTGTGAAAGTTTAGTCCTCCTTTCATTTAAAATTCTTCCACTTGTACTAAATGTTTGTTCGGATGAGACGGTTGAGACAAGAACAGCAAAAACATCCGAGACAAGTCTTGATAATACTGGAAAAATATATTTTCTGGTTTTCCAATATTCCAAGACATCAAAGTTGGCCTTTTGTTGTGGATCTGTTGGTAACATTTCGGGAGTTCCCAAATATTGTTGAAGCTCGTTACTCTGTGATTGCATGGCGGATAGTAGATTCGTTGTTGCTGTTGGTGCTTCTGAAGAGGAGGCTGCGTCTGTGCTTCGGGTTCAGTTCCTCTTCAGCCTATTAAATGCACTCTAGGTGTAGAAGTCTTCATTTGTTTCTTCTAATGCAACTTCCCTATGTATTTCGTGTCTTTGCGGGTTCCTATACCTGTTTTCATATTGGAAATATACCTCTGCAAGATAATTTTTTACCTCTCCTATTTGATTGACAAATGCTAAGTTTTGTAAATTTTCAGTTAAAGTCTCTAAACCATTTTCTAAACATTCTTATTTAATTCTAGGATTACGTAAGGCACCTAAACAATAAAGAAAAGGAATGGGTTTAAAATATTTAAAATTTTTTTTTCCATTGCCTTTATTGGTTCTTTTAAAATTTCATTGTTTTTATTTTTTGTAAATAACTCTGAAATTTTTATAATTGTATGTATTACTAATGGACTAGTAGGATAATACACACCAGAAAGTTGTAAAGTGGATTGGTAAAATTTTTTAAGAAAAGAATGAAATACTTTAGCTATTTGCCAATAATTTTCTACTAAATAATGAGGACCTTTATTGTTTGCTATAAAATAACTAATTAAATTAGCATAAGGTAAACATGAATCAAGCATTAAATAAGTACTATTCCATCTAACAGGCATGTCTAATGCAAAAGTTCTAGGAGACATATTTGATTTTATACAAACATTTTGAAATTCAGTATTTCTTTTATTACTAGCAGTAATCTAAGCTAAACAATCTCTAATTCTATCAATATTTTCTTTAATTGTTTTCATACCACTTTTTATAATTAAATTAATAATGTGATATGCACAACGTTGGTGAAAAAACTTCAAATTGTTGTAAAAAGGATAATTACTTTGAAAAAAATCTATAGCAGTAGTATTAGCACTTGCATTATCTAAAGTTAAACTTATAACTTTAGTAACAATATCATAATCTTCTAAAACTTCAACAATTTTATTATAAATTTGTTGACCACTATAATCCACATCCATTAATCTAAATCTTAATAAAGATTTATTTAACTAACATTCGTTATAAAAATAATGACTATTCACACAAATATAATTTTGTTTACTCTATCACTCCAAATATCGGCAGTTAGAGCCATACTAACATGACAAGTATGTATTTTATTTTTTAATTCTAATTTCATTTTCTTAAACAATTTTATTAAATTATTTCTAGTTGCAGTTTTAGAATAACTTTTAAATCCTGGAAAAAATGAATTTTTAATAAATCTTTCAAAATATTTATCTTCAGCCATATTAATAGGTTGATCAGTTGCAGCAATATATAAAGCTAATTGTTCCCTATATACATCAGAATTATAAAGCCAAGTAATACCCATATTAGTTATTTGAGTTTGATTGGTTTCTCTATTTCCATGTTAAGCAATATGTTTATTAGCATGGCTTTTTAAAGTACTAGTTCCATTACCTGAATTAGCTTTATAAACATTTTCACAATACTTGCATCTTGCTTTCTTCACTTGAACTCCATTTTCTATCTCGTAAAACTTATCGAAATGCGTCCAAACATCTAATGTGTGTCTGTCGTCGCTTTTGATAGTATTGATGAACCCGCTTCAGCTTGAGATGAAGTTGGACGAGGATGATTTTTAGAACCACTGGGAGCTGTAGGTGTAGCAACATGGGGAGGAATCGGGGGCATATTTTGAGGAGTATCGGATTCTGAGACAGGGAAAGCGAGACTATTTGAATCTCCTCCTGCATTCATGTTAGTAAATTCAGCGGGACTAGGACCAGGATAGTAGTTTCCTTCCTCATTAAAATTGATAGAAGAGAAATATCTATCCATTGTAGTTGAAAAAAAATTTGATGTAGAAGAAATAGAAAATTTAAGAAGGAGAATTGGAATATGGAAAATTGGAAATATGAATTGAAAATTGCAAAAACTAATAAAAATTAAAATAAGAGCAAATTGATACCCTAACCTAGCCCGCCATTTTGGCAGTCCAGGTTGAACCCTCTTTAATGCGGGCTAGGTTAGAGTTGACCCGCCTAACCCGACCCATTTGTTTCACCTCTAATGGTAGTTATGTATTGTTTTTTAAATCTTAATTTAAATTTTACAAGAAATTGTTGATTTTATATTTTCTTACCTTGAATTTAGCATTTTTAATGAATTAACTACTAAAATTAAGCAGTCAAATATAGTACCTACTAACGTGCTAGTTTTTCATAATTAAAATAATTTAATATCATTGTCGCAAGAGCATGTAGAAAGTTTTTATCTACACAAGGCAAAAATCCCTGTTTGGGGGGAAATTCCCCATGAAGCCCCGTTCATCAGGTCAGGTCGGGACGGGGATGGGAGTGATTCCATCCCCACGGGTCGGGGATGGTCATGAGAAAAATCCCAGTCTACGGGGACGGTCATGGGAGTGGGTAACGGGGCGGGGATGGGGAATGGGGTCCCCGCCCGCACCCATCCCTACTTATATATCGTTAAATTTTTTTTCATGTTCAAATTAAGCAAACTAGATGACACATGAATTACAAAAGACATGAATGTCACCTCCTCTTAAATTTAAAAGTTGAGTTAAGGGACGTGAGAATATTGAATGGGGAGAATTTCAGAAACTTCCCCTCACTAGGAAATAATCAAAAACTAGTGCCAACTTCTAACGTCATCCAAATCTATTATCTTGCAACTTAAATTCTTTTATAAAAATTATATTTTGCTCTCACTCTCATTAAATGTGATAAAAAGTTTTTCCTTCCAATATGATTTGAACTTGNCTAGTTATTATAAAGTTTTTTTAATATACTCTCTGCTGCCGTTGTTGTTATTTTTTTTTTTTTTTAAAAGTCGTTTTAAGGGAATACATGACTTTTAATAAAAAAATTTCTTCTCTCTCCCACCCAACTTTTTCCTCTGATTTTACAGTTGGGAAAAGATTTTGCAAGTGAGAAAAAATTTCCCGCTCACACATTGAATTATTTAAATAATTTACATTTGTTTTATTTCATTTCTTTTATTCTGCTAGTCTTCGTCTCTTTTCTTTTACTCTGTTCCATTTCTTTTATTCTATCATCCCTCACTCATTTCCATTTTTGTTCCATTTCCATCTCTTTGATTCTGTTCGGTTAGTCACTATGGCCAAACAATGTAATAGTAGAGGTATGCTTGGGGAAATTGATTTAAATGTTCTTTCAACAATAGAAGTTACGAATGAAGTTGATGACATAATTGAGAAAGTTAATACATATGTGAGTCGAAAAAACCTTACAAATGAACAAAGGCAAGCAATTTTTTAATCTCTATTGAAGCGAAGTGTTAATGAACAATTGAAGAAAAACATTACATCTGAGATAGCGAATGTGGAAGAGAAGAGATTGGGAAGAGATAGCAAAAAAGAGAGAGAAGATGGAAGCAGAGACGCAGAGTAGATAAAGAAGAAGTGGGCGATGGAAAATATGGAAGAGAGGAGAAGAGGGGAAGAGATAAGATAGAGAGAGATAGAGGAGATGTGGGCCATGACAAAAAGTGGAGAAGGGAGACAGACAAGATAAGCAGCAACATTTAATTTGAAAAAAAACTACACCCTTAAATCAACTTTAAAAAAAAAAACAGAGGGAGTATATAATAATCAACCATTAATTGGTTAAATTATATTAATACCTTTTTACTTTTTAATAGTATATATTGTTAAGTATCCCTTATGTATCGATTCGGAAACTTGTTTTTTTGAAGTATAGTACTAAATGATAATATCCCTAAAATTTATGAACAATGAAAAATTACACCCATGATTTTGAANAATTACCTCTCCAAAGTCCAAACATCTTGCTTAGTTCAGGTGAGGTTATAGAATCACCTTCGGCTCCAAATACATCAGGACTGATAAAGAACCTAGCTTTAGGATTTGTCAGAACTTCCTCCATATACTCTGCAACCACGGAACTCAAAACCTAGCAATTATGACAATCAGCTTTAAGTACAAGGAGTAAGTTCACATGTACTGAAAAATGAATCATAAGAAACTTCATTGTAATCTTCTTACACCTAACCACAAAATGCCAATAGACATGATGGAAAACCATATTTTTAGTTTGATTATATTACCAACTTTGCAACCCATTTTGAATCATCTTTAACTCATTTCAAAAAATCAACTATACCTATTGATCAAATGTGGTCCTGTTCTTGTATCAAGTCAAACTGACGGTATAACCATTTCAATTTCAAAATTTGCATTCACATGTGAAAAATTCATCTCGATAGCACAAAACTTGCTCGTTAATGCTTGGGAGCTGCTTGGGGTTTCTCTGTGTGATCATCTAAGTGTTCGACGTAATGAGTGTTTAGGAGTTGAGAGTCCAAGAAGAAGAAGAAGAGGATTGAGAGAATTTTTGTGTAAAGGACACGTAGAGAACTAGAATGTTGTAGTAAGTCGTCTAAGTAGTATTTTGGTACAATTTGATCGTCATTGTCAGTGGCTACTGCTTTTGTTTTGGTGGGAACTTGCACAAACTCAACTAATTAATGTTGTTAGTATAAAAAATTGTTACAGGCTTTAGCTTTCAAATGGGGATGAAAGTCGGACGGTAGAGCGCTCGCTTAGCATGCGAGACGTAAGGAGATCTAAATTTTTGTTTTCTATAATCACTTTTTGTTTCTTTAACCAAAAAATTTGAGGGTCATGAAAAACTAAGCACACTGAACCAGATGGCAACTTTATAAATGGCGGTTTTCTTTTCATTAGGATCTAACTTTGAGATTAGAAGATGTTTACAATGTTTGGGAACTAATAGATTTCAAAGCATTCATATTATGTTTGGCCTGCTCATTGACTGATTCTATGTCCACTCTGATGGATCTCTCAGCATTTTTTATTCTGTTGAAGAACATGGTATGTGTATAAAGCATGGAATCGAGATATAAATTTTCTTCAATTTCTACGAGTTCCTAGTTTCATTTATGGTACTATCTCCTCCTAATAATATATTAATGTTACCTCCAGGAACACTTTTACAGCCTAACAAAAACAATTTCTCCCCACATGCTAATGTTGAAAATGTTAATTTGGGGGCAAGTGAATTGAGAAGAAGGAAAACAAGAAAGAATTCGAGAAAGAGTAATGTAAAGAATGATTTTTCATTGATTAGAAAATCTGTTACATTGCTATATATATACATAAACTTAGCCCATAATTGATTCTCAACTAACTACAGGTCAGCATAACTGATTCTTAACTAACTAAGCTACCATACACCTCATGTGTGCCAACTTGAATCTCAACACTCCCCCTCAAGTTGGCATCTTATGAATATTTTTCTACATAGCTTGGACAGAAATTTTTCATGTTGTAACCTTCCCAAGCCTTTTGTCATTACATCTGCTAATTGTTCTCCAGTTGGTATGTACTTTGTAAGTATCAAGCCATTTTGAATTTTCTCCCTTATGAAGTGGCAATCTACTCTATGTGTTTTGTTCTTTCATGAAACATGAGGTTTGCTGCAATTTGCAAAGCTGCTTTGTTATTACAGTAAAGCAATGCTGAAATTTTGGCTTCAACATCAAGTTCTTTAAGTAAACCAATTAACCAAATCAATTCTGCAACGGTTCCAGCCATACTTCTATACTCTGCTTCTGCAGATGATCTTGCAATGGTATTTTGCTTCTTTGATTTCCAAGATAGAAGAGAATCTCCCATCTTAATGCAATAACCTGACACTAATTTTCTACTAACAGCACAAGAAGCCCAATCTGAATCACAGAATGCTACCAGCTCTTTTGTACTTTTTGCAGACATAAGCAACCCAAGAGCTGGCTCCTTCTTCACATATTTTATAACTCTTGATGCTGCTTCGAGATGTGATTGTTTAGGAGACTGCATATATTGACTTAAGGTCTGGACAGCAAACGAAATGTTAGGCCTAGTCATGGTCAGATATAACAATCTTCCTACCATTCTCCTAAACATACTAGGATCTGTTAACAACTCATCTTTTTCATCTAGTGGAAATTTCTGATCAAACTCATATGAAGTCAATTTCAAGTTCTGTTCAAGAGGGGTGTCAGCAGGCTTCGCAGTAGATAATCCAACCTTTGAAACCAACTCAAGTGCATACTTTCTTTGATTCAAAACAATCCCTTCAGAGGACCTAGCAACTTCAATTCCAAGAAAATATTTAAGGTGACCAAGATCCTTGTTTTTAAAATTGTCTTGCAGAATAACCTTCAACTGATCAATCATTTTAATGCAACTTCTTGTTATCAAAATATCATCAACATAGACAAGTAAAATGACTATGTTGCTTCCTTCCCGTTGGTGAATAATGAGTAATCATATTTACTCTACGAATAACCATTTCTGATCAGTGCTTCAATAAGTTTGTGATTCCATTGTCTACTTGCTTTCTTTAATCCATACAAGGATTTCAGCAATCTATAGACCATGTGATTCTCCCCTTGAATGCCAAATCCTTGAGGTAAAGACAAATAAACCTCTTCATGGAGATCTCCTTGCAAGAAAGCATTATATACATCAAGTTGGAAGAGTGGCCAAGCATGAATTGAAGCTAATGCAAGGACTGACCTGACTGTAACCGTTTTTGCCACTGGGGAAAAGGTCTCTGTGTAGTCGATGCCAGCTTGTTGGTTGTAGCCCATGGCCATAAGCCTGGCTTTGTATCTTTCTAAAGTGCCATTAGAGTTATATTTCACTTTGTTGACCCATTTGCAACCAATAGGCTGTTTGCCTACTAGGAGAGGAACAAGTACCCAAGTCTTGTTGGCCTCTAATGCATTGATTTTTGTCTGCATAGCATCAATCCAATTGGAATCCTAAGAATCTTTAGCAAAGGAAGCAGGCTCCCTGATTCGAGAGATAGAAGATAAGAAACATCTGTAACCCGGAAAGAGATGAGCATAGAAAACATAATCTGAAATAGAATAATGAGTTGAATGAGTGATATAGTCTTGCAGCCAAATTGGAGGTTTGTGTGATCTAGTAGACCTTCTAAAAGTTAAGGGATAGGCACTGAAGTTGGAGATGAGGGTGATGTAGCTGTAGGATCAAGACCAGCAGAAGAGTCAAGTGAGTGGGCAAGAAAAGGAACAGAAGTCTCAGGCCTTAAATGTGAATCTGGTAAGTGTGGAGTAGGAGATTCAGGGTTGATAGAAGGCAAAATAACAGGATGTAAGTCATCAAAAAATGTTGTAGTGAAGGGATCATTTGGAAATAATGGGACATGAGAATGTTGCCTGAATTGAAAAGGAAATATGTGCTCAAGAAATCTGACATCTCGATTGACAAAGAAACTGAAATCTTATAGGCTTAGTAACTTGTAACCCTTTTGTGTTGAAAAATATCCCATGAAATCTGATGGCACAGCCTTGAATCCAAACTTGTCTTTGGAACTGACATTAGAAGCATATGCCAAGCACCCAAAAACCTTGAAGTAATCAACAGAAGGAGGAGAACCAAATAGAATTTCATAAGGCGAACTGCCTTGGAGCACATCAGTAGGAAGTCTATTAATGAAATAGCAAGCTGTGAGTATGCATTCTCCCTAATATTTAAGTGGAATGGAGGCTTGAAATCTCAAGGTTCTAGCAACACTAAGCAAATGCCTATGCTTCCTTTCTATTACCCCATTCTGTTGAGAAGTGTAGACACAAGTTCTCTGATGGATAATCCCAAGAGAAGTGAAGAGTGCAGTACACTGAGAGTTGAGAAATTCTAAGCCATTATCTGTTCGAATGTATTTGACACAAGCTGAAAACTGGTTCTTGATAAGAGTAAGAAACTCTTAAGATGGACTATAACTTCATGCTTGTGTGTCATGAGAAAAACCCAAGTAATCCGAGAGTGATCATCAACTATTTTAAGGAAAAATTTATGATGATTATTTGTAGGGATATGATAGGGTCCCCACACATCTATATGCAGCAAATGAAAACAAGTAGAAGCTCTTGTGGTACTGACAGGAAAAGGTTATCTTACATGTTTGGCAAAAAGACAAATGTCACAATGAGAATCAACATTAGAAACAGAAGATTTTATTCCAGAAAAATATTTCAGTTTTGCATGTTGCACATGGCCAAGACATTTATGCCAAAGCTGGCTTACAGAAGCTAAACAAGAAACAGGCAAAGCATTATTCAAGGCAGAAGTATTAGCCATTGAGTCATGAGAAGGCATGAATAAGTAGAGGCCCTTTGATTCTTTACCAATCCCTAGTATCTTGCCATTGGAGAGGCCCTGAAATATGCAAAAATTAGGACAGAAACTAACAAAGCAAGATAAGTCTTTGGTGAGCTTTGATATGGAGATCAAATTAAACTTGAAATCTGGCACAAATAACACATTAGTTAGTTTCTGATCTGGACCAATGTGACAAGATCCAATATGTGTCACAGTTGAGTGATGTCCATTAGGTAGCCTAACTGTAGAAGGAGAAGTTGTCCCCATCAAGATGTTGAGAGTGTTTAAAGAAGTTGTCATATGGTGACTAGCACCTGTATCTAATATCCAGCAGGTTCCATCATCTAATGATGAGAAATAAGAGTAAATACCTACCACATTCACCTATGCATCACTTGGAGGTAATGACGGTTCCTTTGAAGCAATTTCAATATCTTTGCATACTGTTCTTTAGAGAAAATTGGAGCTGCTTGAGTGCTATTTGGAGTGGCTACAGAATTACTGTGATCAAATGATTCAACAGTGGTAACATTACTTGCTGAAGACTGAGTAAAATTCTTTCTTCTAGTGAATTTAAAGTCAGTAGGGTAGCCAATAAGCCTGTAATAGTTATCCTTTTTGTGTCCTCTCACATGAAAATGCTCACAAATTATATTCCAATTTTTCTTAGGTTTAGGTAATTGCTGGTTTGATGATGAATAGAGAACTGTTGGCTTAGATGAGGACTCAATAATAATAGCAGTGGTTAAATTCCTCTGACTTTCTTCAGTAAGAAGCATAGAGTAGGCTTGGTTAACTGATGGCAAGGCTTGCATCATGAGAATTTGACTTCTAGCATGCAAGTAAGATTCATTTAAACCCAGCAAGAATTGGAACAGCTTTTGATTCTGCATGTGATCTACATAAATCTTTGACATAGAGCACTCACATGAAGGAAGTTGGACAATAGACGAATACTCATCCCATAACAGTTTCAGTTTAGAAAAATAAGTGGAAATAGATGAAGTTCCCTGCACTAAGGTCACAGTTTCTCTATGTAACTGAAAAATTATGGATCTATTCACTTTATCAAATCTTTCTTTTAAGTCTTTTACATCAAATGTGCACTTGAAGCATAAACAATGCCACTTAGAAGTTCTTTTGTAACTGAATTCATGATCCAGGAAAGAACTATAGCATTACACCTATCCCACTGATTGTGTAAGCTAGCTGGAAAACTATTCTTTGTGCAAGTTCCATCAATAAATCCAATTTTATTTTTAGCTAATAGTGCTATTCTCATAGATTTGCTCCATAACAAGTAGTTTTCTACACCAATCAATTGAAAAGAAACAAGAATAGCACCTAGAGTGTCAGAAGGATGCAGGTACAGTGGATGACTAAAGTCAATTGATGAACTTGATTAATCATTTGAATTATTCGAAGAAGACAACATTTCTCCATCAATTGTGTTAGTAGCAACAGCCATTTTGATTGAAGTAAAATGATAATTTCTTGATCGAAGAAAAGGAGATCAGAAAAGAATCTTCAAGCAAATGAAGTCCAGAAAAAAAATCTGGTGAAGATCAGCAATGATTCAAAGACAATGAAGATAAAATGACTGGAGTGAAATGGATTGAATTTCTGCGAATTCTCAGAGTCTTCAAGCCCTAAATCTAACTCTGATACCATGTTAATTTAGGGGCAAGTGGAGAAGAAGGAAAATAAGAGAGAATTCGAGAAAGAGTAATGTAAAGAATGTTTTTTCATTGATTAGAAAATCTGTTACGTTGCTATATATATATATATATATATATAAAAGCTTATCCCATAACTGATTCTCAACTAACTACACGTCAGCATAACTGATTCTTAACTAACTAAGCTACCTCACACCTCACGTGTGCCAACTTAAATCTCAACAGAAAATATCAGTGATTTGCATGCCTATTGGATTGGTGGTGGACAAGATCAATTCTACCTGACTCTGTTGCCAACCCTCTGAGATTAGTGCCTCTTAACGTTGACCAGGATTCCAGGTATGTATTAGTAATATCACCAGAAGATATTTGCTTCCTTTTTTGATAACATTTGTTCTGAAACCTATGGTGGGCTGTTCGGTGCTGGGCCTTGGGCTTTTTTCTGCTTAAAGGAAAATTTGCCTGGGTAGGTTGCGTGGGCCTTTTGTGTGGGCTGATGGCATGGGCTGGTTGTGCAAGCAGGTTTTGCAGATGCATGGGCCGGCTGCGTCAGCCTTCTGCTCTATTCTGCATGGACTCCGCTGTGTGAGGTTCGTTTAAGTGGGCTGGTTGTGTGGACAAGTTGATTGGGCTGGTTCTGTGGGAAGTTTGCGTGGGCTGGTGGCAGCAATTTTTTTCTTCATTGCATGGTCTCCCCTTTGGGTTATGCAGAGCTTTTTACGGCTATGTGGCCTTTAGAATTAGGCCTTTTTTTTTTAATTAGGATAACTTTCTTGGGGTAGTTTCTGAGATTCTCCCATAATCAATGTGAACGAAAGAATAACGTTTTTCACAAGTCATGGAGAAGACGAAGAATGTAAAGGAAAGAATAATTTTTCTTATAAAGCAAATAAACAATCCAACATTGTCAAAAGCTTGACCATTAATAGCATGTTAAAAAGACCTATTTATATATGATTAGACCAATCATTAATGATTCATTTACTTAGCATTTAATAATTGGTATATTTATTCCATTTAATTTCATTAATTTTGAGATTTATTATACTTATTAATTAATTAGAATATGAATCTTTTCCATTCTAAAACTCATACTTCTATGTTTATACTTCTCTTCATAATCATCCAACTCTAATTCATTACAAACTACAATCTAGGCTTAGTCCAACTTTCTTTCATAAGCACTTTTAACTCCTAAGAGTTCANTTGATGTAAACTTCCAAAAGCTCTCCAAAAAAAGAAAGCTTTCATTGTAAGTTCAATTTCTTTCAATAATCATTCAATGTTTAATCTTTCAAGTTCTTTGATTATTCTCTTTTAATCTTTCAAGTTCTAGTTCTTTTATTAATCTCTTCATCATTCATCATG